TAATGTGAGCATTGCAGTAATGTGAGCATTGCAGTAATGTGAGCATTACAGTAATGTGAGCATTGCAGTAATGTGAGCATTACAGTAATGTGAGCATTGCAGTAATGTGAGCATTACTGCTTTCCAGTTTTGAAGGGGTGCTGATGAAACTACAGGCACATGAGACTTGTCAACTTGTGTCTCAGGGTGACGGGCGCAGTGGCAGTGCCCCTCAAATCTTTACGCAACTGATATGGACAGGACCAGACGCAAAACTTGTTCGTCCTGTCACTTGATATCTTAAAAAAAAACATCATCCTGTGCGCAACTATTTCGGGACCTAAGAGCGTTTGGTTTAATGTCGTCTTTCGTGTCAGTGATAAAATTGGGAAAATGAATAGACCGGATAAGGCCAGAACTTCTTCTGTTGTTATATTTTATTACTAGACATAGGGAGTAGTCATATGAGCTACAAACCGTCTGTGTTACACTTGCAAAATATTAATGTAGTCGTAAAGGTGTTTACCCGTACATTTTCTACATAAGTTTCGTTTATAGTGACCCTCCCGACCCTTAAGGTATACGAGAAGGGCACTATAACCTATGCAAGCTATTTAGTTACAGTTGAACCCAGTCCGGCGTGTAGGTACTCACCGTATTTTTTTCAAATAAAAAAAGTGGTCCGTGGTCCTCCGGCGGAAGTGAATAGTAGCGTCCTGAGCCGAAGTCCATTCCCACTTGGGCGGTCGCAGGTCCGTTATTTAAATTTTTATACGAGTTTAAGAGGGACAAACTACACAAAGGATTCTCGCGAAGCCATACGTGTCAATATAACGACACATTGAGACATCTGATGGGCCTGGAGCGACTTTGTAGCGCTTCAAGAATGTTCACTCAAGATCGTGTCGGGACATTCGGCCCTATCGAGAGACATTGTATAGCTTCTTTATTGGAGAGACTTGAACAGAGTAGCAACGGCTTGATCTGAGACCAGACTGCCACGCTGATGTACTACCGCTGGCCATTGAAATTGCCACTAAAATTAGATATGACTGCATGAATTTATTGTAAATGTTGATCTGAATTAAGTACGTGTGTTGTTGATCGTTTTCTCGTCTTAAAGAACTAAACTGATTTAAAGAAACAATTATAATTATTATATCCCTCAGAAAAAAAAACAGTTTTTTCTTATAATACCAACCAACCAACAACAACAACAATTTTTTTCTTATAATACAACCAAGTTGTGGTACCACTCAAAGTTTTCAATTGCAAAGGTCTGAAGAGCATTGCCACTGCACTCGTTACCCCGAGATAAGTTGACAAGTCCCATGTGCCTATAATTTCAGTATGTGTGTATAATTTCACTAAACTCGGAAGTCAGGTAAATGATACAGCGGTACACTGCCCCGATATGCCGAAAAGCGCTATCTCAATCGGAGCAAGTTTTGAGCAAAACGACTTTATCTAAATTGTATTTTACGTAATTGTATTGTATTTAAAAATACTTCTTAGTGGTTTTTTGAATGTTTTAAGTTAGATAGCGCTATTTCTACTATGCCATTAGAAATTATTATAGCCTTTGAATGATACATAAAAAAACACTAAAAGGGCGTATCTCAGACATAGCGCCTTTCGGCTTAGCAGGGTACCTGTGCTGCCCTGTTAAGCCGAAAGGCGCAAAAATGTTAATAGCATAGTAAGTTTTGGATTAGTTTACGTCAATATTGCAGTATTACAATTAAACTGAAAGGTTATTTTGTTTGTAATCCGATCAGCCAAGTTACATTAAACTTCGCAAATAATCGCACCATCTAGAGAAACGTCCATAATTCGAAAAGTAACACTTTTGTTGAAATGACAAATAAAAAAAAATACAAGAATATACGACGCAATACTATTGTAGGTGTTATTTTTTAAACCTACTACTAGAAACTTACTACTTACAACTCGTACTAAACCTTCTATGTTATTACAACTGGCCAAAATCATGTGGTCCCTCAGTTCACACACACATGGTTTGATCCTCTTTAAGGATGAGAAAGTTAAACAAATATATAGTTTTTAACCAAACAAAATTAAGACTGAATTGTTACTTAAACGAAGCTAGCCGAACTTCATAGCCTTAAAAACAAGCGTAGTTTTTTTAGTGGTTTTTTAAGATTTTGTTTTATGATCCTTCCACAATTTCCATATTGCCAGCGGAATACCAGGCACACTGCAGGGTACCATTCATGTCTGATTGATATCCCAAATATTAGGACACAGACAGCCAGGTTAAATAGGCATCGGCCATTGTCCACCATATCTGATTTAAGTATTGATTGTAATCAAGTGTAAACTCATATTTTATTTTTAAAAAAGATTGTGCATGATATGCAAGACACAATGTTTTTATTCTTATTTTAGGGACGAGGAAATATAATTTAATAACGTACTTAAGTACTAACTGCCTGCCATAAAGCAGAATAAAGACTTGTAAAAGCAAGCTCACGTTTATGTACGACTACGAGCGCACACACCTTTTAAAGCTTTAAAATTCAAGTCTAGACAGATGGCCCAGTCGTAAATACGTGAATAGTTACTTGTTGCAAAGCACATGGGTCATTCCACGTAAGGCATAACTTTCTTCGGTAGCATACTGCATCTATTTACACCAAATACATTTCTGTTTTTTTATAACAGCGAAACATAGCCACTCATTTTGCGCGAGTAACGTAACGCAGAGCAAGATTGTGTCAGTTGTGGTGGTGTCGTATTTCAATACGACGAGGTAGTCAGCACGCGCATGCGCACTTACCCTCATTGATTTTTCCCAGTTTGACAGTTCCATCTATGTTTTGAGTCAGTGCTCGTCGTCTTGCAACAAAGTAAACAAAAATGGCTTTAGATTATTCCGCTACGTATAAATTGCTGGTACTTGGCGATTCAAATGTAGGAAAAACATGCATAGTTCACAGGTACTGTGACGAAAGATACTACGACATATACATATCGACAATAGGTGAGTGAATTATTTACTTAAGTTAAGCCTTTGTGAGACAGGTGATACTGTTGTATTATTTCAGTATTTTCGCACATAACGGATCCAGGTTCACGCTTTATGTTCCGGACGTAAAACTACGAACAATGTAAATGTGAGCAGATACGCCAGGGCAATGTTCAAAGACTTTACGGTATTTGCAGCTATTGTGTTTCCTTTGTTGTTACGAGTTTTATTACTAAATTGTGCAACTGTACCGGGATTCCTTAAATGTCGTTTTCTAATCAGGAAACTTCCTATTACTCGTTACATGGTTTGTTACTTGCCAGGTAATAAACGGCTATCATGTCTTCATTTAAGTCACAGTTAAATAGTTAGACGTATGTGTGTCTTACAGGCATAGACTTCAAACAAAAGATAATCAACTTGGATGGAGTGCCAATCAAGCTTCAAATTTGGGATACGGCTGGCCAAGAGCGGTTTCGAACGCTGACAACTGCGTACTATCGGGGAGCTATGGGCATTATTTTAATGTATGACATTACTAATCTCGAGTCGTTCAATCATTTGTCTTATTGGCTCAGGAATATTCAAGAGGTGAGTGACGTCTTTTTCAGTCATAAAATGAACAAAATCATATTACTAGGAGATAGTTAGTTAAGCTTCATAAAATGACTTACTTTGACGGAAAAAGGAAACATTGTATGAAACCTGACCATCAACGGTAGTTGATATCACTCTTCGAAGACGTTAGAATTCCTAATGTGCAGAAAGCCGGTTTGTAGAGGTTAATAATGATAATATATAGGAATGGAATAGTGCTCTACGTTTCCCTTTAGAGAACTACCTGCTATGGTAATTATATCTAATGTCTACTATGTGATTATGACAAATCTTCCTTTTTTTGTCCGCCGTACAGCATTGTAGCATAACGTAAAAAACATCTAATATGACAACTTCGCGTATTAACGCCTTATAATTATTTATGCGCAAAAATACGTTTAAAAATATTTGGTGCAAACATTTTTCATTGTGTTTTCGCTTGCCGTAGATAACGGTTAAGCCTAGTGTTGATTTGGGATTAACTTTATTATAAATCGTTTTCAGTACGCATCTCCCGACGTGATCAAGGTTTTAGTGGGCAACAAATGTGACGTGCATGATAACCACCGAGCAGTTCCAAAAGAAAGAGGCCAAAAGGTAAAGTATAGGAATTGTATATTATTTCTATTTCAATTTGAGATACATAGTTATAAATAAATACAAGCAAAATGATGATGTCTATCGCGGGAGAATTTACAAGTAAATATAAAGCTACTTTAGGGCGCATTTGTACGACACGAATTTCATCGCGCTCACCCCGGTCGAAGAGCGGAGTCCGCAGCGGCCGCCGCGCGGTCGAAGAGTGAAGTCTGCGGCGGCCGCCGCCCAGCGACCGCGTGCACGTGCACGTGTTCAAGACCGAACTGTGATGGCAAAATACGCTCTATTTATTTAGCTTTTACGTTTTAATCTAAATGAGCAAAAAAATCATCAACTTCGGGCCATTACTGCTAGCCGACTTCAGGTTCATTCAGTTACTCAAATTCTGTCTTGGAATTCGTATACATTATGCGAAATTCAACAAAAATTAAAAAGTTGTAATTGCATGTTATCTACGTACTTTCCTTGCGGAAAGTTCTTTAGGCCATGCAGCCTAGTCTTTTTTTATATTGACTGACTGAACCTAACACGCGGGGAGAGCTGGAAGGCACTAGCTTGTCTTTTGTCTACGACTCCGCTCTTCGACCGCGTGGCAGCCGCGCGGTTGTATTATTTAGAGGAATTTAAATGTTGTTGCCTAGTAAATAGAATTCAGATTCGCCATTAAAGTACACGAAGGCGTGGTAACTGGGCGGTCGCCGCGCGGCGGCCGCGCGAAAACTTTCTCCTCGTGTGTCTGGGCGCTTAAGGCTATGTAATATATGGTGGCCTTTGTACAGGCACCGTTGCTCGTGTTGTCAGTAGAAAAAGAAAAATGTGACTAGCTCTTGTCATTTAGAATTAACTTAATTAATAACTTAATTATAATATTATGTACTATATTTCACCACCATTGTAGCTTTGAGATACTAACATTATATTTTAAGTTGTGTTGCTAACAAGCCATGGATTATGTCTTGTTAGTTATTATTATGTGTTTACCTCGTAAGTGTATAAGTATTGTGACGTAGTTCTCTAGTCCATAATTGTTGCACAGATATAGTTGACACTAAATCGCTCATTATTAAACAAGGCATCTTTATGCTAGTACCTACGCGTGGCGGGAATACCTAAATACCCACAGGTTCCGCGAGACTTTAGTTGGGTTGCTAACATCGTAGGATGCTTCATTGGTCATGAAGACGTATAAGCAGTACCTACGCACAAAACAGATTTTGTAATTAACAGTTTTAATTTTACAGATAGCTGACGACTTTGACATGCCATTCTTCGAGGTGTCCTGTAAGAACAACATTAACATAGAGGAGGCTTTTGTTACGTTATCCAGAAGAATTAGAGAATATAGAGAGACTAAGGTGAAGAAACATTTCTTTATTTTTATTAAGTTTAGTAGTGCCTGGCACTACATGGCTTCAGGGTCCCGATATTCTGGGAGCGCCTGGTAAATCGTAAATTCAGCCCTTTCAAATAAATAGGGATACGCTTTTATCCGACTGGGAGTCCTTGGCTGTCGTGACAAAGTGCAAATAATAATAGTAATAAAGTAATAAGGTGCTATGTGGACACACACATGACAACCACAAATTACACCCAAACTCACGAGATAAATAAATGTACGTCTTACAAATAATTCTCCCGGCTCGGGAAACGAACCCAGAACCTCTGCGTGGCAGTCCATCATGATAACCGTTCGGGGACTGAGGTAGTTAAATATAGTCAAGTTAAGTAAAATAAAAGATGACTTAGGATTGGATTCAACTTGTCAGCACATTCATTCATTAAATTTATACATATTATAGGTGTGTTTCCACACATCACAAAGTTTGAAAACAAAGGTTTTTAATCAGTGCGTTCTACCCGTTACGACATACGGAGCTGAGAGTGTCATTTTAAAGTCGTTTAGCGAGTCATGGAACGAGCTATGGTCGGAATTTCTCTGAAGGACACGGTTTGAAATGAAATTATCCGACAGAGAACCAAAGTCGTCGATATAGGTGGTAGAATATGCAAGCTGAAGTGGCAGTGGGCTGGTTATATCTGTCGAAGAACCGATAACTTAAAGGGGAAGTGAGTTCTTGAGTGGAAACCACCGCTCGGCAAACGTAGTGGATGCCTTTTGGCTAGATGGAGAGACATTCAGCATCGAGCGTGCGTAGGATCCAATCCTAAGGCCACACATATTGTATTATTATATCAGGAAATATACCGATAGGCAACTTATTTGTACTAATATTTGTAATAAAAACCTGCTAATGTTAACAATAACTTTTAATGTTTTCCAGGCGGATGCTTTTGAACTGAACGACAGAGACAACGTCATAAAACCATCGGATTCTGAGACAGACGTATCTAAATGCAGCTGTTAGCCTGATTGTTCTAATCTTAAGGTAGTTTGATGCAATTTGTCTTAATTAAGAACACTACGTTTTAGACACAGATTCTTAGATAGGTACTCTGTCTTAATATATCGAAAAACTTGTTGATATACAGGTACGTTATTCAAGGTATTACAAAAAGTCTATGGGCTGAAGAACCATAAAGTTTTCTAAATATATAAAAAACAGACTCGTAATAAATATTTCATCGTTGCTTTAAAAATGTATGTATGGAAAATATCAAAGGTTTTAAATCTTGTTATAAGTTATTTACTGTGAAGCTAAAATTTACATTGCCGATGATCGGAAAAGCAGCGATTTTTTGTAACCATAACATAATTAACTTTATATCAATTTGGATAACATGTAAACTAGATATGTAGATACCGAGTCTAAAAACGGGACCCCCAAGTCTGCTAATTTTCTTAAAACCACTGGTCATTGTAATTTCATTGAGACTTCACTGAGATTATGCATATATGTATTACGTTATGATAATATTTGCTAATCTGCTAAAATGTAATCGCAATGGCAGTCGAATCTCATAGAGTGTCTTAGGATCGTATACCAGAACTCTACTCAAGGCTCAAGTCAGGACTTGAGTATGATTTCAAGCAGTGGAAATCACTAATTCAATCTCGCACTCAAATCAATGGCAACATTAGGGTCGTATTTCCAGTGCTTGAAATCATACTCAAGTATCATACTCACTTGAGCATTGAGTAGAGTTCTGGAATACGACCCTTAGGGTCGTATATATATAATATATTAATACATCGGGGCAGAATATATATAATACTTATATTTTTTCTACCTAATTGATGACATAACTAATAAACATTACTAATTTAATCTTTTCTTTCACAAATATCACTGAATAATGGAAAAATTTTGATTTTAACAAAAAAATGCGAATTGTCCAATTCTGCCCCACTTGTAGGGTACTTTAATACATTGCTTGGGGCACTTAGATGTGTGAATCAATGTAGTGTGCCATTCCTGGTCGCCACGTATTATCAGCACTAGGTGATCAATTGTTCATAAAGTATGACATTATATATATCTCAGCACTTGCTAGATCAAGACTTCTTTCTAGGGCACCATTTGAAAAGTGTTCTTTGTAATGTACTCTGGAAGTAGAAATACAGGAGGAAGAGTTGACTATAGCGTAAAATGTCACTAGTTCAGCTCTTTACAATAACTTGTTAAAGTGGTGTAACATTTTTTGTACAAATTAACTAATAGGAGCACTATGATACGTTCCAAACTGCCCTACTCACTAGTGTATAAAAGTGACCCTACCGGTCAATTTGGAAAAAAATATTTTTATTTAAAAATTGTTTATAATATTCTCTCAAAATCCCATCAATTCTAGTTATTGAAAACATTACTTTATACTGTATTAAGACATAAAACCTTGTAAAGTGAACAAAACTGCAGTGGCACTCGTATTTGTGTTGCTTATTTTTTTAGTCAACCGCTGTGAAAACACTTTGTGACCTGTCGAACGACAGCGGCTAACTGGTGAGCTGCATCATCGCATGTCTATTACTCACACTTACAAAGGCACGTTTTAGTATGATCACAACTAATATTATGTTTAAAAGTATGGAGATAATGCAGGCGTATGAATGTGCCCCCTGTATCAAACTGCCCCGCTTCCCGCTACTTATTTAACAGTAATTGTTTCGGATGGATGTCGGACGGAGAACGAGAGTAGACCCCTAAGCTCAGGGCTCGCGTCTTCCGAAGTATTCTCGTGCACTCTCGGGAATTCCCGCAGCTACATATCGTATCTAGTTTGCACATTACACAATTGACACAAAGTTCATTATGCTATGTGCAATTTTGTTACAAAATTTCACTGCCACTCCATTCAGTAGCAATGTAAATGAAGCCTATACAACGGGCATTTGTATATGTATCCCGAAAATTAATCATACTTTTTGTCACATTCTTCTACTTTATGTTGTTACTGTAAACGCTTTATCTTTATACATTTAATTTACTGTTTATGATTTCGACTGATTGCAATTGCTTTGTATGGATTCTGATTTTAAACGTCACGTCAGAGTTGTTTGTTTCTCAACTATACTGTAAATATAAAATAAGCATGGACACCTTCCTAATGATAAAAAATCTGTTTGAATTGTGCTCATGTAATGTAATAAAGTAACACAAATAGGAATTTATTACTGGTGATAAGATTTTATTTATTAGGTACTCCCGCAAAGTACCACTCTGTGTTATGGATTGAAGGGTAAAAACAGGCAGATCAATCACAGGACAAGCACAGGACAATCAGTATCCAATGTTCCACGGCTGACAATGCATTTATGATATTGAGAATACTTTATAGCATCTGAAACCTGATTTTATAAAATCTGTATCTAAATCGTAGATATGATTACCTACAAGTTTCATACATACTACAAAAATCTTATTCGTCATGTAACGGTGTTTTGTAGTGGATATGAAGCTTTGATAATAGAAATGTTAGTCGCTAACAATTTATTTATTTAGCAAAAATATGAGGTGAAAGACGACAATAATTTTATTCTTAGCACAAGAACCAACCAACCAACTTACCTAGTTGGGTCATGCGATTTGTTTTTCAAACTCTTACAGAATATGGGAAAAGTAAAATCGCTATTAAATGTTTACATTCAGAATTTAAAGACGATATTGACACGAAAATATTTTGCTAAGTAAATAATTTGTACAATCAGCGTCAGAATGATCGTGCGTATAAACCTGTTCAAAAATATCTGAACAATTAAAGCACAAAGACACTGTGCTACACTTTTAATTGTTTTAGAAAAATTACTGTTTCAATCAAAAGAGTAGCTTATGACCTCAGATATATGGCTGATTTTTAATCAATGTTCAGATGGTTTTGCGCTCTTTTATCGTATCGATCATTTTTAAAAGTTTAAATACTCGCTTTGAGCATTATTTCTGTGTGCTATTTGCGTGAAACATCTAATGCAATTTGTGTACTGAAATCAGTATTAAAAATTTTTGGATTAAATCAATGTGTAACAAGCTCAAAGAGAAATATGGCAATTTCACAAAGACCATGTAGCTGCTACATTATTATATAAAACATACAATATATACCTAAATGTGGGTCAAGGTGACAATATTAAACATGTCTCGATATAAAGTGAGATGTTTGGGATTGAAATATCCGAGCGTGATATGAAAATGAAAATTGAACATGCCCAGCAAATCTACTTCCAATTTATGCTTTACTTGCACCTGAACTAATCCATGTGTAAATTGTTATTATAAGTTGTTATCCTTTTTGGAATTTACTATGCAAATCGGGCGAACGTACAATCAAAAGAGCGATCCATATTTTTCGATTTTATTGCTAATATAGAAGAAAAAATAAATAAGTAAATATTTGTTTTATACGTAAGAAACCCAAATACATTGTATTAAAACAAAATAGAATTTTAAAATAGGACGTAAATATTTTAAAATAGTCGTTATAACCTAAAAGCTGCTCCTCTGAAAATTTAAGAAATGTCGCTTACGCGCTTTCTATAAAACATCGACGATATACACCATTAGGCTTGCCTATCAATTGTTTACCAATTGCCACGTTCCTGAGATAACTCTAGAATTTCTTTAAATGAAATAAGTTCATGTGGTATTTGTCAAGCCCCCACAATATTACGAATTACAGCTTCAGTAAGCAGTTTTTTAGCTACCTAAAAAAATAAACATATTATCCACAACCGCATTTTACCCACTGCGCGGTGTATGTGCTATCCATCACAATTCAGCTCGAATCTCACGATTTTGGTGAAGTAATCTTTCCATCGGCAGCCCGCAGCGGCAGGATGTCTCACGTTTATCTATTAACCACTTCTTAGCTACAATTCCATCGTCGATATTTTTGTTGTGATGCGCTACATGATCTTTGTTAGGTTGTTAACAAGCACGAAAATTAACTACCTACAAATAGTACTAATTATTAATCATTAGAGAAAGATAGCCAAAGAAAATGAATTTCATATTTATGCATTTCCGAAATTACAATAAAAATACATAATAGAAGTAGTGTATCAATGTCTAACGAAATCTTGCTCACCAATTATTCAATTATCTAAAATAGACTAAGTAATTTCTGTAAGAAGCACTTGCTGATAACGAATTTACATATAATATGTTTAGGTTGACCAAAACCCATGTCATTGCCCAGTCATTAGATTATTGCCGAACTTCTGGGAAGAAGCAGTCACTTCTCTACTCGTTCTACTAACAATTTCAAGAGATTTTGGTCGATCTTGCAGTTTATTAAAGGTTAAAACTGCAGTTACAAATAATGCGATTTTATTGGAGAACTCTAACTTTTGACACATGAAATTCAGTACGGCTTACTTTACATCTATGCGGAACGGAATGGAAGCAAAGTTTTGTAACAATAGTCTAATGAACTTTTTGTCAATTGTGTAACGTACAAACTAGATGCATTAAAATACATTAAAGCTCGTTAAGCTATTTACAATTTCATCACAAGAATTGCTTTCATTCTGTTACACGGTAATGTTAATTGAGCCTTAATCTTCGCAGTAGATACTTGGTACAATAATTGAAACAAGAAAAAATAAAGAAAATGTATTTAATTGCCTACCACAAATGAATAAATAAAATAAAAATAAAATAAAGCGATACAAAACAGAGAGAAAAAAAATTAAAAACATTTACATGTAAGAAACAAATAAATAATTACAAAACAAAAATTAAAGCACAGATTATTTACATAAAGTAAGTATGATAATACTTTGTGTGTTGCCACCTGCAGTAACAAAAGGGTCACACAGTATTTGCTGGTAAATGCAATGCATTCCCAGCATTGATTTTTAGTACCTAATTAGAATATTAACCTATTCCCTGACTGCAATATCTTCTCGAACTTGACCACTAATTACTTTTTAATATTATGTACTTAATTGAAATGTCAGTCAATTTCAGTTTATTTATTGAAATGTCAGTTAATTTCAGTTTATTTATTTAATTGCTATAAAAGGTGTTCGTCCCGTAATGGGCTGGTCCCATAACAATATTAACTGCTGGCAGTAAAAAATATTATATCTACGTTTTTGGAGTAGACAAAATTAGGCCTAAATTATATCTGCTTTGTTTAGAACATGTTGAATTTCAATATTAGTACTATGAAATTGTTTTATTTAAAATAAAAGTATACTTTAATAGAATGAATGTATCATAGATGATGTCTTGACAAATAGTGCCAGGTAACAAGTGTGATTCCAATACATAGGCGGTGGAGTTTTAGAGGATGTTATACCAAATGCTTACGTAATTAGTTCAGTCAAAAAGCACTGATCATTTAGAGATTATGACATAAACAAATGCTTGTGGAATAAAACTTGTAAAATTAATATTTGATACAACATGTAAAGTTGTCAGTATCATTAATGTCTTTAGAAAATCAGCGACTTTTAAGTTGATTGTACTTCCAAAAAAGTAAATCAAGCCAAACCTTTCCTCTCGTCATGAAGGTACAAATGTGTATTTGCAACGAAATTAATAATAAATTATGCATATTTTGAACATATCTCCAATAACTCTCATTACCAGTAACTACTCAGCACAATTAAATTATGTTAGTTATTAACAGTTCTATGTATAATAAAAGTTTTAATATAAAATATATAAGTTCTTAATAGTTTTTTTTATAAATTGCATGATAACAAAAACCCACTTGACAATAAATAATCCTCCGTACTTCATTTATTTTATAATATACTGTAAGAAATATTACATGCGTAGTATGTACCTATTAATATTTTATCACAATTTATTAATAATTCAATTTAGACCTTTTGCGTTTATGCGGGCTAACCATAGGTCTACTTATCCGAGAATTAGATTGTTCCAGTTTCATATTTTCAATCTTAACACTGGCTTCAGTTTCAATCTTTGGTTGTTCACCATTAGATACATCCGTATCCAGAACATTGGTCTCCATTTTTAAAATGGTTGCTGCTGGTTCTTTTATGTTTTGTTCTATTTTAATGCTAGAATTGTTCAATATTGCATTTGTGTCTTGTGTTTCTAGAAAATCTGATTCTTCTTGTTTCCTGAAATCATACAAAATATCTAATTTAGTAACCTTAGTAGGCACCTCCTATTTATTATTATTCTGCTTAATGTCGGCCACTAGAATTGGGTCAATGTCAGTTTTGTTAAAATAATAATTATAAAATATGGCAAAGTCGGTTCAGGAAAATAATCTTGTCCACACAATGCATCGTGGTGATGATAGTCTGGAAAGACTTGTCATTGTGGGGAACGTCATTGTAAGAAACATCTATGACAAGAGAGCATGAGTACAGTCAATATAGAAACAAAATGATCTGTTGAGGGTGGTAACGTTTGATAGATTTAGCTCTGCTGAAGCAGTTAGGGGCAGATTGTGCACTCCAATGGTACCTTTAAATAACAATTCTCAGTAATGAGGATCAATCACATTGAGTGCGCGAATATTTATAACATTTTCAGAGGTGTGTGCGTGTCAGTGTAAGCTTTCACAATAACTCAATTATTGTTAGAAAAATAAACTTACATATCAATTTTTTTCATATCCGGGACAACAACAGACTTTTGAAGTAATATTTGAAAAATATTAGAAGTACCAAAATGTGCACTGAATGCAGTATGTCTGTTCATGTGCTCCTTCTCATTAAATGGAATTGTTTTCAAGTGCCCTGTAAATTAACAATCATCACCAAACAAAATATAATATTTAAACACACAATAGTAAGTATAATATGCAAGAAATAAAATATAAATACTGAGATTATACATTTTCTCTAGGCTCAAGAAAGTAGAAATCATTCCAAAAAGCATAATCCCAAAAAAGGCTTTATTTCATACTACTTATTCTGATTCAACATTTGAAATTTTTAAAGAGACACTATACTTTGATTATGATTTTTCTTTCTAAACTGTTTGTCATATATTTATAAAACAAGATGGAGGTTGTAGGCAGAGCAGTAATCACACTGAACAGTAGTTACAACGGGCCACCAATGGCTATGTGCTATTGGAATGAATAGAATGTAAGAAATTTCAGCCTGAGGCCTGATGGTTCAACTTCGTATCTTTATTTATATGAATTTATTATACCAATACTAAGTTGTTGTATGCGCCAGAACACATTCAAAAATAAACTCACTTAAAGCAATTTCTCCACCTTCACACTTGTATTCTTCAATTTCTTCATCCTTTTTAAACAATTCTTTTTTGAGTTCTTGCTGGCTAAATGTAAGGTCTTGTATCACTTGCAATAATACCCTAGTTACTTTCTGGAAATACTAAATATGAAAAAAGTTTATTAGCCTTACAAAGTTGTAGTACTGTATTTGTTGGTATACATATGTTTGTTTGGAAATTGCAACCTTAGACTTTATAGGTTGTTATTTTCATACAAATGGGAAACACTGGAACCCTCCATGCACTTAATGTCAAAATATATGATTTGACATTATTTATTTACAAATTTTCAAAACATTAAGTTCTTTAAAACTGTTAACATCCTAACTTGAAAACCTTCACTCTCTTGACCCTCTCTTCTACACTTTCAACCCTCCTTCCGAAGCACTTCGCGCTAAAGTACATGATTTTGAGGTTGTTTTTAAAAAAATTAACTAACTTAACGTTTTCATGAACTGTGCAACTTTATATATGTATTTCATTATGCTAGTGCAACATAAAAATATCTTACCAATTCTTTGGAACCTTCTGTAAGTTTCAGATTTAATTTCAAAGGAATGCCGCAGTAATCAGTGAGCAACTTAACACACAATGATTTTTCCTCCTCTTCAATGCTAACTCTTTTTAATTCTCCTGGATTCGTTAAGATACGTTTTCCCGCGTTAAATAACACTTTTTTATTCATTTGTAAACCTAAATTACTGTCCTAAAAGTGAGAAAAGCATAAATTTCGTGTTTACCAGGAAGAATACCGTAACTTCGAAATAGGTACCTCTAAACAAGCAACAAAACTTGCTTCTGTGAAATAGGTGTAAAATATCTTTATATAATCCGTAACAAATACTTCCAGTTTGTCGGTAGCAACCCAAAAATAACTGTTGTGTAAGTTTTTCCACATACTTTTAAAGAAAATTACAGCAACCAAAAACGAAAATAAGCCAAGTTATTCTTCTTGTGAATGAATGATTGAATGGAATACAACAGCAACAACTGTCAGATGACACTGACAGCTAAAAATTCGCATGAAAATTATACCATAACTACACTCTATGGTCCCATTTATGACGAATGTTGGGTAAGTTTCCGAAAAATTGGAAAAATTGAATTTCGAACGCTCATATTATGTTCTACGTTTAGAAATATCTTTTGAAGTTTTATTTAACGTGAATTAAAAAATAGACTTGTATAGCTAAAAGCCACAAAGCAGTGATATTAAGCTTTATAAGCCATCCGTCTCGTAGACTATGGAACATCCATCATTTTCTTTCAGTAACTTCAAATTTTGACAGGTGTCAACTTCTGCCGTGTTTACGATTTAAGGACTATCCACACACATCAGAACCGTGCCCGAGACGTGGCCGGGGCGTGCTGGTTTGTATGAACTGCGGGCCCGTCCCGGCGCCGGCCCGGACACGGTCATGTGTGAACGAGTTCATACAAAATATACGCAACGATATTTTTTTGAGCCCCTGACGGAGCTCGGCCCGTCCACGTCCCGTGCACGGCCCGGATATGTGTAGATAGACCATTAAAGAATGGAAAAAAAACAAAGGAATAGTCTAAGGTTTACGATAAGAACAGTAAATCTATGTGTATTTCAAACATGCTTATTGTTGATATTTAAGCACGGAAAAGTTAAGAAAAAATTTACGCACGCATTTACGAACATTCGCCATTTTCGGATAATTGTAACGAAAACTTAAGATTTCTTTGGTTTTCTTTGTGATTGGTACACGAATATGAGTAGTTCAAGTAATTTAGCGAAGGAATTAATTCAGTTGGCCATTCTGAGTGAAGAGCAAATTGTAAATGATTTTTCACCTACGCATACAGCCATTTTGAATGTAGCGTTGCTACGCTACATTAGATTAAACGACATAAGGTAGATTCTTGTGCTCAACTCTTATACACATTTAGTAGATAACACAACAGATACTGTTTTTGTATGTTCCAAGGAGAATAGAAATAAACTTGTTTTAGTAGTTTCGAGAAAATAATATTTGAAGTTTCCTTTATTTTGTTTGTTCACTTCATTAACTGACCTATCTGATATTCTGATGATGATGATACTCACCTAGCCATTTTTTAAAAGAGAATGTCTACTTATCATCGTATGTCTACTTTT